CATAATATTTTTCTAATGATTCAGGTTTTTCGAGCGATAATAACCTTTTTTTAAGTTCAGGCCGTTCTTGCAAGATAGAATTAGCAAGCATATTTCCGAGAGCTTTGCATGTATTAATTTTCAATAGTTGCTCTTGTATTTCATTAATTTTTCTAACAGCAAATACTGTTTTTATTAAAAAACAACTTGGAATCGAAGGCACTATAGAAGATACACTATTAGTATCTTGTGTTTTAGGTATGTCAGTAGTAATACTATTAAAAAGTTTAATAAGTTCTTTTAATAAATTGATTTTTGTAGATTCATCTTCAGATTCTGCGTTTTGTTTAATCTATCTAGCAAAAAACTTTAAAGAAGATGTAATATCAGCTTTGTGTTGCCCTCGTTCTATGCATGAAACTTTTTCTGGCTGAGTCTGTAGATGACCCCCATGGGTTACAAAGCAGTTTGCACAAATAAATTGAGGATTATTATCATCGTATGACTTTGTTGATAAGCTATTATATTTAGTAATTGCTGGACAGTTGAACAAGCTATGACATGGTGCTTGAATTGTGCGCCCGCATATTTTCCATCTATGCAAAGGGCATGCTTTACCTTTTGTGAAAAAATATTTGAATTTATTGCAAAAAAGACAACGACGTAAGTTTATATTGCTTTCAGTAGATAGATATGCCAACTTTATACCGCCACCATGTACAGTCTTATAGTCATAATTGAAATGATTCATACAGATTTTTACCTTTGATATTTCATTATCAATTTCTTGCATAGCCAGAGAATTGATTTCCCATGTACCAAATAATTGCCTCACATAGATATTGGCCATTTTGCTACACCTCTGAATTATGTTTGGATTATCATTATTGTCAATAATAGCATAACGTGTTACTTTAGTAGTATTGCTAGAATTAAGAAGTACTGGTTTTTCAAATTCTTCCTAAAACATTTCTGTTTCATTATTATCTTCAAAAAATTCATCATCACTTTCATATAACTCGTCTTCAGACTTTTCAATTAACCCAGTTATTTTTTCTTGCAATGTATTTAATGAATGTAAATCAAAAACGAGAGCTTCATCGTTTGCTTGTTCAGTGTTAACATCAGATTCTTGATTGAAGTCATCTTCAAAATCAGGTGAAGCTTCATATAAGGATTCCATGTTTTTCATTTTTTAATTTTTTTTTTTTTTTTTTAAAAGATTTTAGGATAATTATCAAAATTAAGTTGAAGCTTGAGATTTAAGCTATTTTTATAAGTGATTCGGTTGCAAAATTAATATATAACGATTAGATCATATTTTAGTAATAATAGATCATAGCTGAGATTGTCAATATAACTGAGAATATGATAAAATTATATAAGTAATAGTAGATCAAGACCAAGATTGCGAAATTGCCGCGAGATTTTTATTATATTTTGCTAATATCGTAGAATAACAAAAAAAACTCATTATCTTTTCTGAAAAATTCTCTTTATTCAACTTTTTAATAATCATAATTGTACAAATTTAAACATATTTAATAAAAAAAATATTTTATTTTATTTAAAAAAAAAAAAAAAATTTCAATAATAAGTAAGGTCATACAATATTAATTAATTAATTTCATAACCTGGCCGGATTAAAATTCGAAAACTTGTAAAAAAAATTTATGTTTTAATAACCGGATAGGTTTTAAAAAAAATTTTTGTATGTGAAATTTAAAAAAAAAAGCCCAGCTAGCCAGGTCTGTTTGAAAATTTCATGTTATAAAAACTAAGAAATTAAATTTGTATGGCCTAATTATCTTAACTCAACATTTAAGCAACTATTCAACTATCCTAAACTCGAATTACAAAGTACACAGGATTTTAATAAAACATATATTTGCACTAGTGATTAAAAAAATATAACTTGCGATCTGTCTTGATTACACTCGAATTCACCTTTTTTGATTTAATTAGCTCTCTATATCAAGCTCCAAATATAAAATATGCTGTTAGTTATATGAAGTAAAAAAAAAAAAAAAAAAAGAATAAAAAAGAATAATACAACAAACTTTATTTTTCTAGTCGTTACGAGCAAAAAAAACTTTTCCATTCCGCAATTGTTGGTGCCTTTACTATATTATATAATATGGAACAACAAACACTTTTTAGAGACCGCATTCTTTTTGGTTTTATTTTGTATCGTATTTTAAACTTGTAAATAATAAAGAAAATAACTTTTTAAATGGTAGTACTACATGTCATAAGTGCCAGTTTCCTTTTAAGAAACCCTTGAAATAAATGATTGAAAATAGGTGACCGTTGCAATTTACTATGAAAAATGAGCTCATTATATGCATGTCGATCACTAAAATTTCATATTAAAAAATTTACCCCTGTGATCTACGTGACAAATCGGGTGACTGCTAACTGCTAAGGTAACGTAGATCATAATTTATTATTATCTTGTGATACTATTATGTGTAATCACAAGACACATTAAAATATTTGGACCAATTAAATTCAAATTAGAAATTATTATATTAAGGGTTTAGACTCTCGCTATGTCAACCACTTCGCAAACCGTACATACAAATGATGATTCTTTAACTAACTCAAATTTGCTTAATGAGTTGGAAGAACAAGCTCGCGGTATTGCTGAGGACCTCGAAACAATGTTTCAAAATTTAAAGTCCCAAATGTTTGAGGTTGGTTTTGTTTCGTTTTTTTCCAATTTTATTTTTTATTTTTTTTTTTGATACAGTAATTTAAATCTGAAATAATACTTTAATTGGAATTTGCAAGTAGGCATCGGTCTTAACTTCTGCTTCATTTGATGTTTATAAGCAAACTGTCGAGAATTATAGTACAGAAATTAAAGAAGCATCAAATAAAACTCGAGAATTAATAGAATTGTGCGATCGATTAGATAAAGAATTTGTTGAAGTACAAATATTAGCAAGTAATATGTATGTTTTTTTTTTTTTTTTAATAATTCTCTGCTATGCATAATAATAAGACACGTTATCTAAGACATTTGTATTATTATACAACTTTTATATTTATCAAGTAAAAATATTAAACAACAAATTGACACACTTCATAGTGCTTGGATTCGAATATCTAAATAGATATCCTGGTTTATACACAGTAACCTGTATAATAATAGGGATATTTTATTTGAAAAAAGTTACAAAATTTTTAAAATATTTAATTTTTATTTACTGTATCAATGAATTTATTATCATCGTTATTGAACGTTTATTCTGAAAATATGATAATTTTGCAACCAATCTAATGGATATTACTATGTTCATTACTGCATTGGACGATAAATCGTCAACCGTACCATAAAATGTTTAAAATGAAATTAAATAAAAATTCAATTATCGTAAAACTATTGCGTTTTCTTTAGGAAAATTGTGCAGCACAAGTTATGTTCTTAATAAAAGCAAACAATAACGCTAAATGGTGCCTTTACCATGAAAATGTCGAAAAATGACGTTCTGATTAACGTGTCATCTTCGTGAAAAATTATTTCATAGTACCCTACTCATCATTTTATGACAAATTATTCACAAATTAAATCAGTTCTTAATGGTGTCTACTGACTAAATTACCAAGCAACATGTATCAAATCGATCGATAATCATCTTTGTAGCGACCATTTATATACTAAGAATATAATAAGTAAATTAGGTTTGCTAGTCAATAATGTACTATAAGTACCTTTAAATATTTGTAGTGTGCTTACTGTCTCATTATTAAACTAATTCCTTTCAATTACTTGAAATACTTCATAATCATCTGTATCAAAAGATGATGGTATACCAACGTCCGAGTAAGATGATGGTCCTGCTGCCCAAATTCCCGTACTCATGTGCACTAGATCATGATTGTTTCCATTAAACCTTCCAAAAATTGGTCCGTAATTAATATCACAGCATATAGCATAACTCTTTTCATTAACCCGACCTAATTTAGCTGACGAAAGTTCTTTAAAATTTTTGAATGAGAATATAAAACTCTCTGATGTGGTTTTCCATTCAGCTCCCATAACATCCATTTTCCAGTCTAATGGATTATATCCACCAACTATTTGATCAGATCCTTTAATTTTTGCTATAATTATCGTAGCTCCCATACCATCACATTTTTGATGAAATTCTTTTGGTGATGATCCATTTCTACCACCACGAAAAATAAGTTTAAATGTATGAGTAATTATATTAATTTTTTCTTCATTATTTGAAATCCATTTTGAAAAAAGTTTCAGGTGATCATTATTAATCAAAATAGAATCACCAATTGTTCCTAATGAACTTAAAAATCTTTCTTTAAAAACATTAATTTCAGGTCTTGCATTTGGTACCAAATAACAACGTTCAATATCTGATTTTAAATCTTTTGGTAAAATCTTTTTATAAGGTTTAACTTTTTGATAATAATCTTTTGAACTTATTTGGTGAAATCTAATGAATGGTATTAAATTGTGTAATTTCTTTTCAAGGAGAGTAAAATTTTCTGAATCCCAATTATCAGTGTTGTCATTGAGTTGAGGGTCCTGTGCGATTCCCCATCTTATTATGTGATTCCAAATTTCAATCTCTTTCATATTAAGTTTATCTTGTTTTATTAATGATAATAAATGTTGTTCTTCTAATGAGACGAAATTATTTGAATAAAATAAAGCTTCAGGTGATTCACAAATTTGTTCTAAACAAAAATCTTTAAATTCAAATAAAGTTTTATGTTTATAAACAACTTGAAGAATCTTAACAGGATCTTGACGTAAAAATATGGATTTATTTTTCAATAAAAATTTTGTTATATATTCAGTTACTTTATTGAGATTTAATTCATCTGCAACAGCTAAGAATTCCAAAATTTCAGTGCCTTCATATGATTCTATATTAATTTCCGCTGTATATAAATATCTTGAATTTTTTTTTACAAAAAAAAAGTAGGTGTTGGAATCAAAAAAAGAAAAAAAAAGAAAAAAAGAAAAAAATATATAATAATAATATTTATTATTTTTACTTGAGAATAGACTGAAACGCAGATTTTGAAACGTTTGGTTTTTTAAAAATAAAGTATCCATCTTTTTTTATGGCCCAATTTTCGGAAAACGCAGTTTGGAAATATCGAGAACGAGCTCTTAAAATGATCGAATGCGCGTATATTGATTCATTATTTTCACCTACTTGAATGATAACATCATAACCTTCCTTAGTTTCGAAAAGTTTTTTAAAATCTTCGTAAAATAATTGTTTAAAATTTTCTAATTCCATTTTGAATAATAATAACAAATTTATATACTTTATAACGAATAAAACAAGTCGAAAATGAACTGATAAAAAAATATATATATAACATATATAAATGAGGATTTCGTTTACAAAACTCCGGGTGTTACTGAAGCACAAAAACTACAGAATGAGCTGACTTTGAATGTTTGTAACATATTTAATATTCCGTTATTTAGGTAACGATACTACGTAAAACACCATAAAAAAATATATAACTAATGTCATTTGTTATGAGAACATTAATATAAATTCAGATTTCTAGGTCATGCCACAAAACCCTGATCTCCGAGCATTATTACACGTTTTCGTTATATTGAGGAATTATTATCGTATTAAAAGCTAACATACACTAGGGACGTTCTTCTGTTTATCCGAACTCAGTTCGAAACCTAAACGCGAGTATTTAATCACGTGAATTTAGTTAAGCTCAAATCAAAAAAAAAATAGCGATAGGGAATTACTATTTCCCACCATGATAATCACCTAACCCTAATTCTGGCCATATGGTAGAAATAGCAAATTGATATGGTGGAAATAGTAGTTTCAAAAAAGATTACATTTTTTGAATCTATATAAATTATATCTTAAAATAATAATAATAATAATAATAATTAAGAGTAGTTCCAGTTAAAGGGTATAAATTTCATAGTAAAAATCGGCGGGCATTTACTAGTTACTATATCTGATATAGTAAGTGGAATGCCGTGTGCTTCATTTCTTCCCTTTAGTAAACGATCGAAAAATATATCTCATGATCTATCCAACCGATTTTGATGATTTTACTACCATTAGAATCAGAAAATTAGCTCTACAACTTTTATTATTAATAAAAAAAAAAAAGGTTTACTTAATAAAAATTACTTTTATGTAAGCAAGCCCCATAGAAAAAACATGAATTTCTGACTTTGTTATTATAAAATTTGCTATTTTTTATACCCTTCAGAGCCGAACTACCTCTTAATTATAATAATAATAATAATTAAAAAGTTAATCTATTTAATTACTGCATATGAATTACTGTAAAAGTTAATGCAGATATTTTATTCGTTTTACGTTTTAAATCATAAACTATATGAATAATCAATGTAAACAGCGCAATTTTTTACAGAATTAGGTTGGGTTCAGTGTCTGAAATTCAATTTTGAATTTTGTTACGGGCCCGCAACTTAATAAAAAAATCAACTTGCGGAGTAACTGTGTAATAACGAAAATTTTGGTTATAACCAAAATATATACACAATTTTGCAAAATTTATATGCGGAAACCGTATACAAATTTCAGGTTTTAGTTGCGGAAAATTTAAAATTTGTTGCGGCGCGCAAGCATCCGCAACCCAATTTCAGCCACTGGTTGGGTTAGTTGACTCAATCTTCAACCCGCTCAATTAAATTAGACTTACTACTCCAGAGTACTCTATATTTTAAAACCCACTCCAAATTGGGTTGGGAGGTAGGCTATTCCATTAACAATCCTAATAACGACCTATGTCAAATACTACAAAAAAGTTGTAACTTCGCTACAATCGGTCGTGATTAATTATAGTCGTGATTAATTATATCAATACAGTTGCATCACTAATCGTGACAATTACTTAAAAGATTTGATGAAAAAATATTCATTTCGGTTCTATGCATACACATAATCTATTTAATACGTTTTGAATTTTCCAAGATTTTGAGTGAAGATATCTCGACAACTACCTAACTAAACTCTGTGAAATTTTTATAATTTTAATTCTATGAATTTCGTTATGTAGAAATTTAATTAGGTGATTGATTCGTTCAAATTTTTTTAAAAATTATATCGCGGTTACTATTTTGATATCGATATACATTAGTGCAAAGGTATCTCAACAACCTCCTAACTAAATTCAATGAAAAAATTTTTTTTTATTTCCTTCTAGGAATTAAGGATTGGAACCGTTTAATCGCATAAAAGTTGTTACATAATATTATGCTGATCATGGACCAAGGATTAGAGGGCCGGGCCGAAATTGAAAAATTTT